GTGCAGATATCGTTCCTTGATACGTGGTTCAAGGAATTGACTTATTGATCGTAGATTACGTTATCTTGTTGCAAAGCTGTTTTGTGACAGTTCGTTAGTCGGTTAGATAGTCAGCTAGTTTATCAATTGATATTTAATTCTAAAGACTATAATCTTGGGTGCCAAGATTCCTTCAGTAATAAATGATAGTAAATCTCTGACTATCTCGTCTACATCATCTGTGACGCTATAATTATACCATAGTATTCGGTCGTTGGAACTGAATTATTTGGTGATATAGCTAATCTCGCCTCTTTAAGTTAGTAAGTGGCGTTCTCCGCAAGGATTGGCGTGTGTAGACTACTTTGTCACTAGTGGTGTGTGACAATGCCATATAGATATTTTCATGTCTAGTAATATATTCAAACCTTTGATGTAGAAACACACCGCTGCGATAGCTTTACACTGCTTAGTTATAAATAATCCGATAACTAATTCTTTATTAATTTAAGATTTTAGCCAAATTAGCAATACACAACACAATTGTAAATGTTTTCAGTAAGACCGAAAGAGAACTAATATCATCTATGTAATTTACGTTTTTCAACCTTATCCATTATTTAAAATTAGCTTATTTCGTGTCTAATATATACGCTATAATGACATTAGCTCATTCACTTAAATCGCACGTAGAAAAAATTATTTATTTTACAGTTTAATTACTAATCTGTCACCATTTCGTATGGTTTCCAAATATGTCAACAATCTTTGAATACGTGCTTATTGGGTATAGCATAATCCTATTGAATTAATAGAGGTCATAATAGGATGACGTTTGCAGTAACTGTATTAGTAAGTAAATACAAGCGTCTTATTTTCTTCGAAGGAATAGATATTTCGGACTTTTCTTCCTCATTAGATAGATAACTGGATTATGTAAAGGAGCAAGAAAAAGAAGAGCGGTTACAAAAAAATTGAAAACCGTTATACGTTCGTAATCGTGATTCGTTAGGTTTGCTCTATTAATCTCTATGTAAAGTTGCTGAGTGAATAACATAATTAATGATAACGCCAAAATAAGAAATAAGATCGAAATACAAGTAACCATCTTAATAGCTCGTGCTTTATCTTTCTGTTCTGAATAAGTATGTCCGAAGCGTTTTTTCATTATCACTCCAACTTTATGTAATTTTTTTATAACTCTGAAGTGGCAATATACGATTACAGAACCAGATACTACAAAACCAATAAAAATAAAATAGCTGGAAAACAGTAGTCCTAAATAACTTCGACCATTTGGTAGCTCAGAATATATACAAACAACTTTAAAATGAGGGTCTGCTATCGTATCCTGTACAAACACTGCTGGAAAACTGACCGATAATATCCATATGCTAACCAATTGGATGACTATCGTTCTAGTTTTGTACGAAGGCTTGGCTATATGAATAATTATTCTATATCTATCAATTGAGATCAACACCAACGATAAAATATGTAAAGTAAAGCTTACGGCTGTTGCAAAATATAGTACTTTACAAGCAGGATTTAAAATTGCTGCGGGCCAGCCTAAAGGATAAGTTGCATATACGATGATACAGTAAGAAAAATACGGTATGCAACAGAGCAAATCGCACACTACTAAGTGCGAGAAGAGAATATCCGAAGAAGACTTTATCTTTTCCACTTTTACAATCAAAATAAAAATTATTAAATTGAAGATGAATCCTAACGTGAAAATAATTAACATTATTAAGCCAGTATACCAATAACGATTGAATAAAAAGNGTATTCCATTCTGTATTTGAGTTAAATGATTTCGAATGATGTA